GGGGGGGGGGGAAATTCCTTATGCAAGGGGGATGATATTGGGCTAACACCGTTCTTTTGCAGCAAAGAAGAAATCTCAGAATCATTTAAAATACCCACTCATATATTGCTATGTGAGATACTGTTTTTCTCTACTGTAGCAATTGAATGCTTGAACATAAGGAATCACCTGAGCACCACACCACATAAGCATAGCTTCACTAGGAATATTTACACAATACGGAAAATAAAACAGCTCTTGTCACAACTTTTTGCACATTGATATTCTGCTGTTTATTTAAAAGCAAACAAAAGACCCTGAGATTACTTGGTCAAAATTGCATTTCTGCTCAATGTTTTGGGAACTGACTGCTTCAGGAGCTCATAAAATGAGATCTTTCTCATGGGGGGCTTCTGGCAAAAGCACTCAATAAATAAACATTTCAATAACAATAGATGCCCTTTGGGGAATTCCTTGCTGTTCATTATGTGTTGGATGAGAACATTTAAACAAAACCAGTAATTATTTGACTGCAAAATATTTTTTAAAAGACTTTTTAACAAGAGGGTAACCAGCCTGGCGAAAGGTTCTAAGGTGTATAAAATGCACCCCAATACTTCCTAACCAGGAACTTTAAATTAGATAGATGAGACTGCTTTTTCATGCAGCTGTCAAACCCTCTGAAGCCTAGCTAATATTAATGGCAATTGTCTTTACATCACTCTAAATACGGAGGCTCACTGAAGTGCACACGATTGTTTATGACCTGATGAATTGCAAAGAAACCATTCCCACAGATCCGGGAGGGTGCTGCTGGTTAGCAGAGGCATCCCTCCTGGCTCGCAGGTTACATCACGCCAGCACTCAGCCAGCTGCGGAGGGGAAAGCAGTCAGAAATGAAACCACAATGCCCAGGCTGAAATGTAACCTCCATCTGAGACATGCGTCTGCTGCAACTGAGACAAAAATATTGGGTAGTAACACTTTTAATCTAGAAAGACAATATTTTATATCAGATTTTTGTCTATTTTTACCCCCAAGCTGTATGCTACTACAATTACACCTATGTAGATTTGTAGTAGACTCTTCTGACATAAGTGAACTTACACCCACCTAAATAAGAGAAGATTGTGAGTTTTAGAAGGCATCTGGACTACACTATTACAATCACACATCATTTTTTTCTAATACTTTCTTGTGACTTTTTTTGAATAAAGGTAAGCAGGTCTGACTTCAAGGCTAATAAACAGTGACTTCTCCCCATGCAAAATGTAATGTCTGTTGCAATGACCCGCTAAATTTATTACTTGAAATTTACTGACTAATTACCCCCTCTGTTGGCTGTCACAACTTCTGGTTTTTTTTTTAATTTCAATAATGTTGCCTTCAGCCATAATAGGTTTTTTTTAACAAAGACATTCAAAGCATATTGCAAATTGTCACCCTTATGTGCTGTTGTCTTATATTTTGTTTACTAGAGATGAAATAATTACAGTGTTTATACCAAAATGACTTGAAGGTTGATTGCTGATTTAATAATATCCCCTCCCCTTGGGTTTATATTTCCCATCTGAAGGTGGGAGAGTGCACAACATGCACAGAAACAAACAATATTCTTTGTGTAAAATAGAAGTATTTCCTTTCATTAATTGTTTTACTGACTAACAACATTCTTATTATATTTTGCCTGTCAACAAATGAATGATCTGAATAAACAGAGCTGGAGCATGATCAATATGGTGAGGTCCATATCACTTTCAAGCCGTAGGTTATAATTATATTTATGAATGACAGGATTTAAATCTCCATAAATTATGTACCAAGCTTTTCATGCCTGTTCTTCTCCCTCATGTGTGTATACTTTAGTATTACAATATCATACAGAAGGTTTACTGTGAAATACAGTCACAGTCTATCATACCCCCTAGTGGAAAAGGATTTGAGAAACAAGTGCCAACATGGTTATGTGTATTCTTGAAGATGAGACATAGAGCTGATGCCAGATGGAAATGAGTTGAGGTTGCACCGCATTTTTAAAAAAATACAGGCAAAGTGCAATTTTTCAAGACCGGAGGAAGATGAGATTAGGATTGGATATTTCCAACATGAAACATTCTCTTAATGATCCTATTTCATAAAACAGAGCTTGCCTTAATAAAGCTTAGATTTGAAATTAGAGTCGCTACTTGTCTATATGTTCATTTCAAAATCCTTTAATCTCTGGAGGTTAAGAAAAGCAATTAGTAATGCTCCAGAGGATTGTGCAAAGTAAATTTTATAGCAGCGAAGGTAATTGTCTCAGGAAATGTTTGGTGGGCTTGAACTAATGACTTGCAATGTGTACACATTTCTGTGCTTACTGTGTGTAGGAATTTGAAGCTTAAGTCCATTGTTTATATTGCACTAAAGCCTCCTTTTCACCTTCTCAACTTTGGAAAAATTAAAATGCTCATACTGCTGTAAATGTGTGATATATTTTATATC